TGTGCCTGATCAATTGCAGGTGTCTCCAGTCCATAGAAATGCAGATGTTGCACTTTCTGAGTCCTACTGGGCTCCAGGACCTCTTTGCATTCCCACCCTGCCCACAGCAGCCCTGAAGGATAAGGGCTTCTGAGAAACATTCCCAGCTGGAGGAGAAGCTGTCAAAGTGACAGGCAGCAGATCCCCAGGAGAAAGGTGAAAGTGGAACCTTTGCCTACAAGAAGCTGTAAACTTTTGCCAGAGAATGCCCTGGGGCTCTGTGGCCCTCAGAAAAGAACTGTAGACTTAAACTGGGTTAAGACACCATTTGCAATGGGGATTTAATGCTTCACACAGTTCAAAAGGGTCTGAAGCCTCCCTGATCCAGGATGAGACCTGAGGACTACAGAGGTAAAACGATGGCTGAGCACAATACATGGACCTCACTAAGTTAAAGTAAGAAAACAATGAAAAAAAATAAACCAAAAAACAAAACAGATTAGAGCAGAACCATCATGACAAAATACCAAGCAAACCCACAAATCTCAGATTTCCTCATGGTGACCAAATTGAACAATACTTAATGAACCACTGGCAAAGAAATGTTAACCAGCTCAACTTTTCTAAAACCCAGTGTTCTCTTTCAGTAGCATCCAGGTGAAGAGATTTTCAGGAGTTAGCAAAGTAGTTTAGATTTTCAGTTGAACGCTAGACATCATCATCATCATATTAGTGAACTCTTCCACAGAAATGTAAGTTAGTTTTCTGAAGAGCTGGACTGTAGAAGTTATTCTACAGTTAACATAAATCTAGCAGAGAAATAACCATGGTGATGCCTAGACAAACATGAGAGACTCTGAAATAAAACAAAAAGTACAATACAAGCCCATACAACCATTTGAAACATGCAACCAAATCACTTAGATTTACAAAAAGCTGTTATATGATGTAAGTTGATTAAATATTGTAAATATTGGCATTTTGTGTAAGTAAAAGTGCTGATGGTGAAATTGGTTCCTTATGCTCTTTTTCCAAACTGGGATTGTATTGCAGCTGATGTAGTAAGATGTAGAAATACTGAGAAAAAATCAAGCAATTAATGTTTGTGATAATAAAAAATGCCATACTTTCTTCCATGTACTTAGTAGGGAATGGTGTGTTAGCTCTCACCCCTAAATCATCTGACTCACTTGGAATCCTTTGAAAAAAACTGAATTATTGAACATGTTGGACCAAGTATTCTCCAAAGTTTTGGCACTGAATCTGATGCTGAACTCCCTGAGGATGCAAGGGATCCTGAACTTAAAACTATCAAAAACTTTAACTGCCACTTTACATCAGACCTTGAGGGCTTTTTAAGATCTCTCTTTTGCACCTCTTAGAGTTGAACATCTTGGATCACCAAGGTACACAGAAGGAGGAATAACTCTTCTGCAGGTGAGCCCTCTCCCAAGATACCAGAGCAGACACAGACACTGTCTGTGCTCTTGTTGTGTCTTATTTCTTGGGTAATAATTTTGATAATAAAGTAATGGGATCCTTCTCGAATACTTTTCAATCCATCTAAGAGCCCATGCACTTTGTCTTATTCACTGCAATAAATGTAACTTCAGTTATAGTTTTGTGGGTTACAGACCTACTGCTGACTCGTCTGGACCAGAAGAACATCTTTTATGACTCGAGTTTCTTAGGGCTGTATTAAAAGGAGAAAGGGTGTGAATCAGAAACGTCAAACAAACAAGGCCCCACAAGACAACAGGAGTTGCACAGAAGAGGTGAAGAGATGCTCACAATGAACAGCTTCCAGGCATGTGAGCCCCTTGTCTGACACACGTGACCTTTACCTACAAAGATGAAAATTTCCTCACCCACAAGGCACATTTGTTGTGTGACTCAGCATGACCCAGACCTGGTTAACAGATCCTTGGGGCCAGGGGTGAGAATGGACAGGGATGCGTCATTGGGAAGGGCCAGGAGCATGGAGAAAATAGAAGTCCACAGACTCTGTAGCTTGGATATGAGCACCTGCATACTGAGCCATATGTTCACATCGGCTGTTGGCTCTAACACTGGGTGGAGAGAGAGCTTTGGCTTGGGGGAATGGATCTCTGAAGGTTTTTCTTATCCTGAACTGGTGAGGCCCTGGCACAGGTTGCCCAGAGAAGCTGTGGCTGTCCCATCCCTGGAGGTGTCCAAGGCCAGGTTGGACGGGGCTTGGAGCAACCTGGGCTAGTGGGAGGTGTCCCTGCTCATGGTAGGGGGTGGATTAAGATGAGCTTTAGGGTCCCTTCCAACACAAACCATTCTATGAAAACAATAACAGTCTTGGGAGGAATTTTTTAGCCCCTAGGCCAGTATTTAATGTGAAGAATACTCCCTTAGACAAAAATGGTATAATCAGAGGGACAGGAGGGAAAGGTCAAAGCACAATCATCACTAGTGATTTTGGAATCATTTTCTGTGCTATAAAAATGCTCATTTATACTGATGCCGTAAAATCTTGATGCTAAAAAATAACTCAGGAGCAGTTAATTGAGGGTGAGATAAGGAAAGGGTTTTAATTTGTGCCAAGGCAATAGATGTTACAAGACGCACCCCGGCTGTGCCTGAGATATCACATTTTATGATACCATCCATCCAATCCCAAGTGTGTCCACCCTGTAGCCTTTGCTCTGGTCTGCCCCAAGTCCACCCCCTGAGAATTGGGTCTGAGGGCCTTTGGGACCACCTCTTCATCATTCTCATCATCCTCAGAGCACAAAGGGTACACGGTCACCTAGTTCTTGACTCTTTTCTGTTGTTCAGGCCTGGATATGAGTGTTCTCTAAACACTATAGGCCTTGCCTTGACAAGAGACTAAACATTTCTACTGGATTTGGGGGTAGGATTGATATGGGGTGCATGGAATGGGGTAAGAGAGTTAAGGAATGTGTAAACTACTTGTGCTACAGGGTAAGGAAATGAGGGCTGCTGCTTTTAAAATCTACTTCTACTACTTATAAAACTTATAAAGCTTGCAAAAATTAGAAAAATAAAAAAACTAATAGGGGCTTAAGGCATCAATACCTTTGAATAACTAATAGTCCTAATAATTATAAACTAGACTTCCTTCTTTGAAATTCCTAGGCAAACATTCTTCGTATGAGGAAGATATCACAGAAATACAGAATGATTGAGGTTGGAAGGGACCTCTGGGGGTCATCTGGTCTCCCCTGCTCAGGCAGGACTATCTGGAGCTGTTTCTCGAGGACCATGTCCAGGTGGCTTTTGAATATCTCCAGGGACAGTGGTTCCACCTCTGGAGATATTCAAAGGCTCTCTGAACACAATCAAATATGGACACAATTAAGTCTGAAGGAGAATATAGATAGTACTGTTAAAAGGTATTGTACCAAAGAGTTCAGCTTAGAATCGTCCTCCATTTTTCTGGTATCTCTGGTTCCCTCACTGGACAATTTGGTTTTTTCCTATTTTGGGATAATTCCAAATGCAAAGGTGCTGGTTTAACAGAGAGCATTTTACTGTGGAGCACAATTTCTCTACAAAAGCTTTCCTTAGATCATATGAGCTGGGAGAGCTGCAGACTCTGTCCTCTCCTGTGGAATTAGCCACACTAACACAATCTTACTATTGGACTGTACAAAAGCTCCCTATTATGGGGTTTCTTCTGGAAACAATTCTATTCTCCTGTTTTCTTAAGATCTATGTCCTGTAATTCAACCATGTATGCAAACGTAAAGTGAAAAGCCACTGCTCAGTGGGAGGCAATCAGGAGGCCTCTCATGAAATGAGTGGCTGAGGTCGATTAAACACTCACTGTCAAAGATGTCAGCAAAAGCAGGTTTAATAGAAATTTGCAAAAGCTCAGCAAAGTCCAACGGCAATGGTCACTCTATTTATTAAACATACACAGGAACATCGAGTTAGAATTAATTTAGAATGATTTCTGCAGAGACTGGGGGGGGCAAAAAGAAGGTAGAGTTGTTAGAGAGAGACCATCCCACTGAGTCACAAGGTACAGAAAGGACCACCTTGTTTTCTCAACTGCCTCTCAGGGGAGGTGTGGATCGAACCATTCCTAGTCCCAGACTTGATCAACAGTTTATGTAAAAGATTATAACAACACTCAATCATTGACCTTTCCCTCCTGTCCACCTGATGACACCATTTTTCTCTAAGGGAGTGTTCTTAAAAGTTAAATCTGCCTGAGAGATTGGGAAAAGGTGTGGAGTGTAAGATGAAAACGTTCAGAGTGTCATCAGAAAATCAGGATAAAAATACTAGTGAGTGACTCCCCCTGATTTACATTATGGTGGTAGGATGCACTAAACAAGCATTTTACTGGATTTGGATTTGCCAGGCAAATTTCACTTCTCTTCTGCATAGGGTGAGGGTCTTCCTCCAGGGGTCTGCAGGGTCTGAGGGACAACCTGACAAAGCTTAATGAAGCAGACCCTGCAATGTTCTCTGCAGAGCCTGTCTTGAAGCCATCAGTAACTCAGCCAGTATGAGAAAAGCCTTATTTCTCCTCCAGGATGTGGTGAACTTGTTTTTCCAAACAAGGGGAGGGTTAATCTTGCACGGTGCAACTAAGTCAGAATTGTTGGCCACAACATCCTGCCCGTTGCTTGTGAGAAAAAGGTGAGCTGGGGCATGTGTGTGGTGGGGTCTATTAGTTCATAACCAAGTTGCTGTGGAAACTATCACCCCATCAAACATTCACATATTATTTCCTGTTGGCCTCTTCCTCATATCACTGAGTGGAAAAAACCAGCATGTTTTCTTCTCTTCTGCTCTGTGTGTTTCCCTCCCTCATGCTTTCAGCAAGCTATGTCTTAATTGAAGCTTCTGAATGTCCCAAGAGATACTTCCCTGCACAAAGTCTAGAAAAGACAAATCCAGCCAACGGGAAATCTGGGTTATCAAAGCTGTATTTCTAATCTCAGTGGTCATTAGGACAGTTGGGTTTCAGCAATGTCCATCCCAAATTCATAAGAAAAAGCACAGAACAAACCACAGCATTTTGGTCAAGGAAAATTTTATTTTTGTCACTACTACAGGAAACTAAAATGCACGTGGGATATATTTTGCAGAAGAAATACAGGTTTAAGAAAGAAATGTTTCTATGGTTGAACATTATCTGTTTGAATTGGATCACTTCAGATCCAACACAGGTCTTCTCAACCACAATAGGAAATTATTGTTAATAAAGCTGTCTAAAAACCAAAGCTATAAATGGCAACTATTGTGCCTGAATTGTCTCTGCAGTAACACACCAGTTCTACAGACAGTAACACAACATGCCTGTGAAACCTGATTTAAAACGTTATATAGCTCTCTATATATCTATATGTATTGATAGTGAGGATTGGGTTTTTCTACAACTATTGAGGCAGGTTGGACATTCCTGTGTAAATGCCAGAACAGTGGGGAGATCTACTCAGCAGGAGGATGAGGAGAAATGCACTCTCCTCAGTGCACAGAGAAAAAGAAATAGCAAAAGCAGTTACAACTCTTAAATCTAAATGAACTGGCTGGGCAGGATTGAACAGCATCAAATGTCTAAAGGGGAAGGGGCTGTGTTGTGTTCTGGGTGCTCACTGTCAGCAGATGTGACACTGCTTGTCCAGCCCGTTGTGCTGCTGGTTCACCTTCTTTCCTGCAGTTCTTCAGGTTCCTCTTGCCTTGACTCCACATGGCTGGAAGAGCAAAGGGTGTTTTAAACTACATTTAATGCAAATGGAGCAATAAATCACTGTTTGGGAGCTGTCCAGTCAAGACAGGTACACTACAAAACTTAGGCTGGACTATCTTTTGTGCCTCTTTGGACACTTTAATTTGAAAATCCCCCCTGCCTCCCCTCTCTTTACTCCCACAGGTTTGTGTTTTGGGATCCTTGCTTCTGAATCCTTATTTGTTTGGAGTTTTCTCCAGGCTTTGTGCTCTGGCACTTGAAGTAGTGAAGGAGGTACCTCTTAGGCTCTTCAGGCAATACCTGAGTTGCTCGGGCAAAGAAAATTTGGGAACCAGCCACCAAGAACTGAGCTCTGGATATAGAAAAGTGTTGTTTCCTTTGTCACGTGGGAGGCAGGGTGGGCTTCTCTTAATTGTTTTATTTTTTGGGGAGGGGGCCTGGTGTGGGTGCTTTTTGTGGGTTTTGCTCATCGTTGTTGTTTTTTTCCCCAGAAACCTGCAAGAGCTATTCAATGGAATCAGGAGCAGATGAATAGGTGTCGTTACCTGTGGGGTTAGAGAAGTACACACAGACGGGCAGTCACTCCTGCCACATGCTTCCAGTATCTCTACAAATCAAGCTGAGTGCTTCCTTACCTCAGAAAAGAACCAACTTGATACTCATGAGTGTATTGAAGGCGATGCTTTTTGCCAGCAGGACTCTCAAACCCAGCACAGCCACAGACAGCATGTTCACTCTCTGCACTGTGGTACCTGCTCAGGGACAGCAAAAAGAGGAGAGAGACCATGGCCTAAGTCTGGATGTTGGGATCTTGGCAGAAAGTGGAAAAAGCCACAGGTAACAGCTTCAGGGAAAGGAACAGCAGCAGAGGAAGAGATGCCAGAGAACATGGCAACACCAGGGGAGGAGGGTGTCTGTCTCCATTGCTTTTTGCTTCCTGTTGCTTGCGTGTTCCTACAGCAGCAACCTTGAAAAAGCAGCTTGTGTTTGATAAATATGTCATAATCTGTCTCCTCTCCCCTCGAGAAATTACCTTTCTATGCATTTATCCCCCAACCAGCAATGTAACTTCACAATCTGTTTCGGTCACTAACCTTGGGCAGAGGTGTCTGTGATGTTGCAAACCCTGTTACTGGTCCTCGTTACTGGTTCTTCAGCCTCCTTTTCTGTAGAATGAAAAAGAAAAGGCATTTTAACCCATATCCAATTTTTAGAAAGTATTAAAAAACTATTCCTATGGCCCTTTCCACAGGGACATGTGGGAAGTAGAGCCTGGGGCTCAGATGATCAGTCACTAATTCCAACATAAATCTGAGGAGACAATTTCTCCCTGCAGTTGCAGGAAACAAAAGAATTTCTAGGTTGTTTTGTTTTTATATTTTGTGCGATTGTTTTTGTCATCTTGAAGGTCATTCAAATAGGGAAAAGGGATTTAGTAAAAACCAAAACCAAATCACACCACCAGTTTAACTTTTTGTTGGCTTTAGAAAGGCTGTTTCAGGTTGTACTCCAGGAGGTTTGCTGCTGCAAATAAAATAAACTCCCATTTTAAAAAAATGGATTGTGCCTTCTCTCCTCCCCCATCAAAAGAAAAGTTTCTCCAATTTATTAAACAGTTGAGACCATTTCTTTTAGATGCTTTTAAACATCTTTCATCTTTCCCTGCTGAAGTACCAACTGTCTCTCTCGTTTCTGCTGCCCACCCTGGGCAGTGCAGACTGTCAGGGAAGAGCAGCACCACAAGACACTGTCTCCACAAATACGTTCCAGCTGTGCCCCCAAGTTGTACCTGACAATGCTGTAATGGTGCCAATGTCCAAATGGGCCTTGCAGGTCACCTCTGTGTCTTTTGTCACACTGACCACCTTCATTGCACTGTACAGCCCCTCTGACGCCAGAATGGGTGTGCTCTGTTCATACACGACCTCATCAGAGGACATCTCCAAGCTGATGTTCTTTGTACTGAAATTCCTTGCCAAACAAGCTGCTTTCCCAGTGCTGCCTCCTTCTTCCAGTTTCTTTGATTTCATCACAATGACTTGTGGGACAGAATGTTTTGGACTGCCTGTAAAAAAAGTATGGTTTGGGCATGATGGATTTTACTGCAAGCCTACCTGAGAGTTAAGTCACGAAAATTAATAGACACACCACCTGGGACTGATTTGTAGCATTATCAATGACCAACTGCCTTTTTTTTTTTTGCCATTACTTCTTGCTGTTGCTTCCAAAAGATCAAATTAGAGACAGAAAGGGTGTATGAGAGCAGGTATTTTATAGGAGATTTAATTCCACAGGATCTCAGCTTCCTTTTGCCAAAGCTGGTGCCTGTAAGTGAATTCTTCATTTTATAAATTAAGGACCTGCAAAGGAGAAGGGAACTTTTGTGCATGTCACTCCAAGAGTCCAATTATTCTGCTTTCTCAACAATTTAATTCCAAACAATGTCAACTCTATGAGGACTGCCTTGCATATTCGTGAGACATGAGGGAATAACTGTTTTTCCCTTTGCTCTCCCTCCCCTCCCCAAATCTCCTGTTGTGGTTGAAAGGTCCAACCACAGCAGGAGTGGCAGGGAGAGCAGAGGTCAGTTTGTTGCCTCACTGCTGTGCGAGGTTCCCCCTCTGAGTGACGTTACTTGCAGAAATGAAGTCCTGCTGCTGCAGGGGGGGGACAAGGCTGAGCTTTTCCATAACAAATGCTCAGGTGCAAGAAGGACTTCTGGCTGTAAGATGGGAAAGTAGGAGAGAAGCAATCGAAAGTCTGTGAATTGTATATCTCCACACAGAATCACAGAATCACAGAATGGATTGGGTTGGAAGGGACCCTGAAGGCCATCTGGTTCCAGCCCCTGCCATGGGCAGCGATGTCGCTCACTAGTTCTGCTCCAGAAGTTCCTGACAAGGCCAAGAACTTTCATTGTGGGGGAGGTTTTCCCCCCTAGACATTGCACAAGGTGTAAGACATTCCAACCAGTCTGCAGGCGATGAGGAGAGAGCAGGATTGGTCCTTGGTTCAACAGCTCTTGTGCCTGTTCCAGAAAGTGTGACCATTCTCACCCCTGTGCTGTGCCGTGTCGTCAGACCCACGGCTCCGGAGCAGTGGGAAGTGTAATGCAGAGTTTGTTTAATAAACTGATCGGAGGGAAAGAATATCCTGGGACCTACAAACATGATGCTCATGGACAAATCTTACAATATTCCTTCGAGTAGTGTAATAACCTTCAGTGCTGGTCCTTTAGCACTAAAATACCAACAAACATCGAGACATGAAAACGAGAGTTTAGACAGAATCTAAAAGATGCTGACAACTTTTCACAGGATTTGAGATGCTTGCTCTGATCTGTCAGAAATTTGGTTACTCTGAAATGTTAGATGTATTTTTTCAGTTTTGAAAGAATTTTAGAGTTGAATTCCCCTGGAAATACATGAATGACAAGAGGTTGACAACTAAAACAGACTGAATTTCAATGGTATAGCAGAAGCCTTCTCTGGGAATTTCTTAGAAGACATACAAGTAATGAAATAAGATTGCTTTACTTCCAGGAGCTGTCTTTTATGGTAACAGTTGGTCTCAAAAGAATTTTGTAACCAAAAAATCATTGTGATACCATGGGGCTTTTTTTACACAAAATATCTTTTCCTTCAGGTCAGGCCATATTTGGAGAATCCAGGATGACTTCACAAACCAATGTCAGGACTTTATTCAGATTAGTAATTTGAAATATAGTAAAAACATGTAACTGAAAGGAATCCTCTATCACCCTTCCTTGCCAGAAAGGCTTAGCTTATGAAAGGCTGTCAGACATACTAAAAGAGATTCACATGTTTAATTTGACAGGAGCATCCTGGTGGGTCTCTTTGCTAAAGAGAGGAGCATCAGGGGTTTAATTTTGCATGGTGTCTGCCTTGCAGTCTGGTCAAGGGATCTCTCATATCAAACATCTTGTGCATCAGAGGACACTTCACCAAAGTTTGATCAAGGAGCTCTGATTTTACACTCTTTCCCCATCACCCTAAAGTGGTAAGGAACTGAGGTGAAAGCCAAATCGTGCTCTGCCACAACTTCAGGGGTCAGGTCTGCTGATAAATCAGTCAAAACTACACTCTTGTCCATACCTACAGCAACCAGACACCCCACAGAAATCAGACATTCATCGGCAGGAAAAAAAGGCAAAATTCAAACAATAACAACTCAGAAAAGGATAATACATAAAGGACACCTACTTGGCTCCACGGTCAGTTGAGTTCCTTTCCCAAAGACAAGAGCAGCAGTTACACACAGTTAAAACACATACATCAAAAAAGGCTTGTTTTTTCTATTCTTCCTACACACATTTCCTTCCCAGGTGTTGTAACATGGTTTGCCAGAGCATTGTGCATTCTGCATTATCTGAGAAGATCTTTAAAGGCTTTTCATGTTTTCTCCTCTCCAGTATTTCCAAACAGCCACTACACTAACAAGCTGCTTCTCTGCAATAACTTACTGGGCAAGATCTTCAGCAAGAAACAATGTACACACTGCAATTGAAGTTAGTAAAGCAGAATAATTTTTATCAGACCCCAGAAGCCTCAGCTGAGTCCCACCATTTTGTACTACCTGAAAATACAGCCATGAATTCCTACATCTGCTTGTGTTTGGGAGATATTTCTGTATTACATTCTGGGATTTTATTAGGACAGAAAGTTGTACTTTTCTTTCATTTTAGTCTAACGAGGTCACAGGAAGAGTCATATATTCTGTAGAGTCATGGGCCTTAGTATTCTTAATGGAAGTTTTGTCTGGAATAAACCAACCCCCACCAAAACAAAAACCTTGTCTATCCTCAAGAGAATATGACTGAGGTATTCTGTAGTAACACTAATGGTTGTTATTTGATGTCATTTTGATTTGGAGCGAGTCTCAAAAGATTTGGATAATAAAGTATATCTACTCTAAACATCTTAAAATGCATATTAGTAGCTCCCAAAGAAAATCAAAACCAAAAGAGTGAGGTTGTTCACATTCTGGAAATTTAGGCTTCAACTTATTAAGTATTTCAATGGACACTGAGAGACTTAGATACTTAGGGCCCAATATCTTTTACTGTCACACATAATCTGAAAGTCTTCATGCAGCTTTGAAAATATCTCATCTTTAGCTACAAAAAGAAAAGCAGAGAAAGAATAGGTTTTTCTTCAAAAGGATAACTTGGCATTCCTTTGCCCCTTTGGAAGTGGAAGTGGACTGAGATTGTTCCAAAACAGACATTTATTCCCATGCAACATCTCCTACAGGCATGGGCAGATATTAGGCAGCACCTCAGGCAGTCCCAAGCCCTTCTGAAATGAGAGCAGGGTGTTTTAGGAATGTAAAATGACATGGGACATTTTTGCAGCACTATAAAGACATGCAGACCTCTGAAAGCACAGCAACAAGTCTGTGTTATCTTCAGGATAACACAGAGCAACCTGACAATCTCCTCTGACACCCCAACACTCACATTCCCATAGGGTGGGACATCCACCTTTTTTGTACATCAGGAAAGTCCAAATAAAGACAGGAATAACAACTATGGCTTGTTATCATCCCTACTCCCCACACCTGTGTTTTCAAAGCCCAGACAACTTGGGAGCCAGTTGTCTTTCATTCTAGGACGTCTTGGATATGAGGCACCTGTGAAAACTGAAGGCCAGGGATATTTATCCTCCTTCCTCCTCTGTCTCCAGTGGAATTGCTTCCCTGGGGACACTGTGAGTGTGGTGCCAGTGTCAAAACTTCTCCAACCAGACAGTTAAAGGTCTGTCTCAAAACTTCTCCCCACTGTGAGCTCTCCACTGAGCTGTGCATTCCTGCCCAGAGGGAGTCAGTGAAGATCCACTGGAGAAGAGGAGCCTTCAGAGTCAGTTTGGGCCACAGTGGTGTCCAAACTGGGAATAAATTGTAACATGTTCAGTAGTGCACACCTGGTGTTTGGGGATCATGGAATGAAGGTGTTACACAGAGTTAGGCCAGTTGTTCCTGTGAAACCTTCCTAAGCAGCTCCAAGCTGAGGATTTGGCTTGAAAGCCTGGCTGGAGAGAGAGAGTGCACTCAAGGGGTTATTGCAGCAGAAAATTCTTGCAGTGAACCCAAACCATTAGATTCCTTTTTCCTCCCCCACCTTAACTGTAACACAATTTTAGAAATAAATAAAACAAAGTACTTACTTGGTACAACTGTGATGGTGGTCCCTGGTCCAAATACAAGCTTATCATCCTCACACTGCTAATACTCATTGCAATAAATCACTCTTTCCACGTGGTAATCAAAGCGGTAGAAAAAACGGGAGATGAAAAGTTAGACATTTTTCCTAATTATCCATGTGTGCAACTCCTTGAGGGTATCCAGAGGCATATTTTCTTCCAAAACTGGAAAGAGAAAAACAATAATGGAATAGTTAATGACTTCAAATAGCTTGATTGAGTACAGGACTTCCAAGTTCACCCTTTCTTCCATATTTTAGAGACTCCATGAGCTCTATCTTTCCAGGATAAACAGAAATATAAAAAAGAATGCTCTATTTGTCTCTTTAATCATTACAGTCACCCATCTCCTTTCCTTCCCAAAATATATTGCCTTTTTACCTTCTCTGGGTTTTTGTACAGGGCCCTGTGCTGTTTATATCATTGTGGTACTCCAGCCCCTGTACACAGTGGTGTATTTCATTGCAAAAACTGCCTCTCTTCCGCTACACAGAATTTTGGATTATACAGGGAGTCATGTGACTTCTCAAGTGGTTCAAGACCCAACATACCACATGAAGAAACACAATATGGCTTTGAAGGAACGGTCTAAGAAAATTTCAGCAAGGTTGAATTAAAAATGAAAACTTGGGGATTACATGACACCTCTGAAAACTCTGATGAATTTAAGCTGGATAGAAAGCAGGAAAAAAATCAGTACACATAGTGTTATTTCAAAGCATTTCAGAAAATTCTTCTGACTTGCAGGAAGTTGTCTATATTTTCACCAGTAATTTGGTGTCATGCTCAGAAGCATGAGAAATGTGCCTCTCTTGGCTCTTAGAATTGGTATCTGGGGGTCACTTAGTACCTTTGAAAGTATTTAGGCTGCTTTGGGTAAGATGAGAAAGTAGGCTAAATGATGGTTCTTTGTTATGTAGAGGCACTGTAGCCATGGGAGTGACTATCAGAGATTAAAGGAGCTGTTGCAGAATTATCAGATCTTTCATGATGATCAACTTGTGCAGCATTAACACAATCTGGACCTTGATGGCAAAAGATGGACTCCACCTCTGAGTCTCTGCAGCTTCAAGAGCCCACTTCTCCCTTTTCTACCAAAGGAGAGGCAGGTTGAGTCTGTGCCCATTAGGATGGGAAATGGAGGTTGCCATGGTGACAAAGGCTGGGAGCTCCTGGCACCAAGGTGAAGGCTCTTGTTTCACATGAAGATTTGCAGCCACAGAGTAGACTCTGTGCTGTCCTGGCAAAGGAGGAGCTGGGAGCTCTGCCAAACAAGGTGTCTGAGCCCATCGCCCACGAGCCACACAGGAGCACCAGAAAAATTGGTGAGTGACAGCAATGGAAGGCTCCAAGCTGCTGGACCAGTCATCTCCTTGCCATGGACTCAAACTGGGGTCACTTTTAATGGACCTGCTCAACTTATTGCACCTGCAGCCCATTACCCCTCCTTCTCTTCCTTGGGGGTATTAATGACAGTGCCATGGCAGTCCTGGGAAGTAGCAGGCAGGCTCTGGGACTGTTGGAAGGAATGGGTTAAGAGCAGAAAAGAGGTGAGGAGGATTGTAAATCACTCATGTGACCTTGCAGTGGGGAATAACCCTTGATAACCCAGAGTGAACTGCAGCTGGTGACCCTCCAGCACAGACCGAGTTCAGAAGCCACTGTCTCTGTGCCTCTGCCTGGGTGTTGCTTTGAGATTCCTGGGGTTATCAAGGTAATGGAAACAAATTTACTCTTTGTGTTCTAGTCCTGAATCCAGTTCCAGCTGCCTGTCTGTGCTGACTCACATGGGGTGATGGTCAAGGGTGTGTGGGCCCACATGGGATTCTCCTTGATCCTGCTGATGAGGAGGGAGGTGGAGAGAAGGAAGAGTGGATGAATCCTGGTGGTCAACAGTTGGTTACACAGCTGGCATTGACAAATGGACTTGGTTTCTATGACCATGGGATCCTTTTGGAGGACTGAGGGCTCTTTGGAAGTGATGAGACCCACCTGATTCAATCAGGCAAAAACTTCTTTGCCAACAGACTGGCCAACTTGATAAAAGCTTTAAACTGGGAACAACAGAGGAGGAAGCAGAAAATAAATAAGTGAGAAATGGGATGAACAGGACAGGCTTCATTATAAAAAGAGAAAAAAGGGCTGAAAGGGTTGCACTTCAAGAGTGTGCACTAAATAAGGAAGTATTTATGGGTGTATTAGGGAGGGTTCGGATCATACTGAATCTTGAAACCACGACACCATTGAAAGCTCAACAAAAACCAATATTTATTACCAAGAGGTGGCCAACAAAATTAACAAACCCAAAAGGGAGGAAGGAGGAGAGAAATAAGGCCCCAGCACGACCTCCCCAGTTACCCAGCTGTTGCCCATAAAATTATCTTACCGACCTAGCATACCCATAATTACCCATAGCAGAAGCTGCATCCTTGGAGAGTCAGTAAGTTCACAAACTGGCAGGCGTCCCCGCCAAAGGCAACGTTGTCCCTGATGTGAAGTTAGCTCCCTCCAAGAAAGCGCTATCTGCTTTTATACAATTAACTGAGTGATCTCAGCCTAGGCAGGAGTGGTCATCACCGCCCAGCCAGAGGCCCTCAGTCCCACCCCCGGTTATGTAAGTGCATCTCTTCTGCACACACGTGGCTTTCCCTGCGCCCATGTACTGCACTCGGGGGGTCTTTCTTAATTGAGTCAGTGGGTTTACTTCATCCTCCTCCTCCTCAATATCTCCTTCAAGTGACCTTGGAGAACGATTAGCCAATCACAGAACACCAATTAAAGCAGTTTATACAAGAAGCTCTCTCTCCAAGGACGAGGTGCCCGTTTAACAGTACTTGTTTTCTTATAACTTGGTAGGGAAAGAACAAAACCTTTACAGTTGTCTGGGCCAAACACAGACCAAAAGTATCAGCATAAATTCACCCTGATACAATGGGGAAAAAGAAATCTCTCTGGGCTTCTGGGAAATTACCATGGCTGGGTGCCTCTGTACAGTGCCTGTGCAGGAACACTTGCAGGGTGGGGAACAAACAAGAGAAATTAGAGCTCCAACAGCAGCTGCAGGGCTACAATCTCTTTGACAGCAGAGATGTGGTGGGGCAGCTCACCTGACCCAGGAACTACAATGGGTGGTGCAGTGTGGGTTAGCACACATTGCCCGGGCTCCTCTCCAACAGAGAGTCCTGGAATGGTGTGGGTTGGAAGGGACCTTAAAGATCATCCAGTTCCAATTCCCTGCCACGGGCAAGGACACCTTCCACTAGACCAGGTTGCTCCAAGCCCCATCCAACCCAGCCTTGGACACTTCCAGGGATGGGGCAGCCACAGCTTCTCTGTGCAATGTGTGCCCGGGCCTCATCACCCTCAAAGGGAAGAATTTCTTCCTAAGTGCCTCTTTTTCCAAAGTCTTCTCCAGCTCCCTTGGAGCCCCTTTAGGCACTGGAAGGGGCTTGAAGGTCTCCCTGGAGCCTTCTCTTCTTCAGGCCAAACAAGCCCAGTTCTCTCAGCCTTGTAGTTTTAACACTGGTTTCAGAGCTGTGAGATCATGGAGATGTGGAGGGATAGCTTTCAGCAGTATTGTAGCAACTGAAGGCTGATTACCAAAGTCAGACTGAGAAGGGAAGCGAGTTGCAGAAGCTATTGAGGAACAAGGTGGATCAAGTCAGGTTGCAGAGCTGAAGGCCATCCAGCTGACTTTAGATATCACTGAACAAGAGAAATGGCCAGAGCTCTACCTCTCCACTGACTCGCGGATGGTGGCAAAGGCTCTGTAGGGGTGGCTGGAACAATGGAAAAAGACCGATTGGCAGCACAGAGGGAAACCAATCTGGGCTGCTGAACTGTGCAAGACATCGCTGCCCAGGTAGGGAAGTTGGCTGTGACAGTCTGTCATGTAGATGCACAGGTACCCAAGAGCTGGGCTAATGGAGAACATCACAACAATGGAGAGGGGGATCAGGCTGCCAAAATTAAAGTGTCTCAGGTGGATCTGGACTGGCACATAAAGGAGAATTATTTCTGGCTCAGTGGGCCCAAGACACCTCAGGTCATCAGGACGAGATGCAACATCCAGATGGGCTCACGATCAAGGGGTGGATTCAGCCATGGACACCATCTCCCAGGTTATCCATAACTGGTAAACATGCACTGCAATCCAGCAGGCCAGGGTGCAAAGCCTCTTTGGAATGGTGGATGATGAATTGAAATATAAATCTGGAGAAGCCTGGCAGATTGATCCCATCACACTCCCAAGACCTGCCAAGGCAAGTGCTACATGCTGACAGTGGTGGACACAACCCCTGGATGGCTGGAGACACACCCTGTGTCTCACAGCACTGCCTGGAACACCATCCTGGGTCTAGAAAAGCAAGACATTGGTGATATGGCCCCCCAGAAGGTATTGAGTTGGACAATGGGACTCATTTCAAAAGCAGCCTCATGGATACCTGGGCCAGAGAGCACCGGACGGAGTGGGTGGATCACGTTCCCTGTCATGCACCAGCCTCTGGGAAAAACTGAACTGTACAATGGACTGTTAAAAACCACATTGAAAGCAATGGGTGGTGGGACCTTCAAGCATTGGGATCTACATTTAGCAAAGGCCACCTGGTTATTTAACACCCGAGGCTCCACCAATTGAGCTGGGCCTGCCCAGTCAAAACCTCCACATACCACTGCTCAGAGCAAGCGATGGGGTGGCTTTAGCAGGAGTATTAAATTGGAGAACACCGTTCCTAAACCATGACAACCTCCTACTTGCAAATGAGGAAGAATTTCTGGTGGCCGTGAGGTTGCCAGGGGCAGCCTTGGCTGAAGTGGCCATGCAACATTTGAGCACAGGATCCAGAGAGAAGAGAGCAATGTAAAAAAGACTGGAGCCCTGGACTTCAAGAGAGCAGAATTTGGGCTCTTCAGGGATCTTGGAGGAATTCCACAGGTTATGATCCTGGACAGAGGAGGGGTCTAGGAGAGCTGCTCATTTTCAGAGATTAGCTCCTTCAAACTCAAGAATGGTTCATCTTGACAAAGCACTAAGTCAAGCAAAGGTGGTAGAAGGCCAAAACAATGAACAAAGGGCTCCTGAATAAACTCATAAATGGTGAATACAAAGCAATCATATGTGGCTCAAAGTCCTTGCTCTGATGTTTATAGCTGGGACACTGCTAGTGGGAAGTGCCCTTTCTGGTCTCCTGTTCTTGTTCCTCAGGCACCTGCTTCTGGCCAGTGCTGGACATGAAGTTCAAAGGATCTTTGTTCTTAGCAAAAAACCTCCTCTGTGCTCTGAGACAAAGAGAAAAACATAATGCTGAGCTTAAAAATGGAAACATCTAAATACAATAGGTTAATGCCCACTTTTTCAATTTGAGCTGGTGATCAGATGTCTAAAATGACATGTTTGTCAGATCCAAGATCTGATGTTGAGTGCTGAAGAAATTAGTTTTGCGTAAAAAGATTTTTCTGCTGTTTGATTCTGGCAATTGAATTTGTGTATGTGCACAGAGCTGTCTGAGGAAAAATAGACCATGTAGGGCACCATGTAGGGCACCTTCAAAGCATGGAAGTGAGATAGTTTGTGTGTGATGGTTCAGTCATTTTAAATCACTGTGGTACGTACTCCACACTGTGGTAGACAGTTTTACAAAAATATTTTTTTTTTTCAGTGCCAGGTGATGTCTGCTCTTTCATGTCTTTGAGGAGCTGGCTTTTATTTTCCTGTTCCTCTATACTGTTCTACTTCTGAACATCTAATACTATTCCAGAGGATGCTCTACACTAAAAATAACATTATCATTATTGCTTTTTCTGACAGATAAGGTAGTTAGTATTAATCTCATTAAAATATTGCCCATGCTTGTAGAAAAGGAATTTTGCTGTTAGAACTGTTCTCACTGAGAGGATCTGATTACTGGTTTGTCTTTTAACAAACGTCAAGAGAGTTAGGGTGAAATATTTTAGAGTATCTGGAGACCAGCTGGGTATCAGCAGCAGGCTTATTAATTTTCAATTTATTTTCATTCTGTATTTCCTAACTTTTTCTGGACCTTCAAGCATTTCTGTCCTCAAAGCCTATTTTCACTCCAAACTAAAAATCAGTCCATGTTTATGAATTGTTCAGAAGTTATTTTGGTTTAGCTGATAGTTGCCTTTTAATTTGATTTTTATCTTACTTTTGTGATTTTTATTAGTGGTAACTTGGAATTGTGGAGCAGTTTCCTAATCCTCAGATCCAGTTCTAGGATACAAAACCAATATAGCATTATTTCATCCTGTTTGCATTATCATTGTCACCAAGTGTATTTCTCATTTGTAATCAACAGTTTTTAATCCCAGTGCTGCTATTTTCCATTGTTAACACAGGCAGGTTCATCTGCTCTTCCCTTTAGTGTGTCAAATTGTTTTCTCCTCCTTATTGCTTCACTGCTCCGGGAAAGCTGTGGAATGTGCTGATGTGATACCTTCAGCCTGGCATGACAAAGAGAACAAGCTCAAAACACCTCCTGCAACAGGCCTGGGCTCACACAGGTGCCTCTCACACACCCTTCACTCGCTGGCAAATCTTCCCCAGCAGGGAGACCTCGCCCTGCTTGTCCCTGAGATCTCCGAGGCCGTTAAACAGCCTGTTCCCATTGCAGTGCCACAGAGCACAGCTGTGCTCACAGCCTCCCACGAGCCACACGCTTGAATCCCTTTGGCTTAAAGTTGAGTTCTGCCGTTCTTTTGTCTATGTCTGTCCCGGTGCAGGCCCTCCAAAAAATTACTGGAGGTGCCCCACTACTGTCAGTGACGTGTTGGAGAGAATGTTTAGGTTGTGTTCCACTACATGATACTGAAGAGCCCTCCTTGAGTTCTGCTTCAGAGGAAACGGGAACAGAGGGAGTCCCCCTCTCCTCTAGAAATGTGTCACAGGCAGATGAAGATACATTTCAGAGGTTGTTTGAATTCCTTCAGTCCTTGCTGAAAGGTTGACACTGCTGTTTTCCAAAAGAAAGTATCCTGGCCCTTCCAGCATAATTCTTCTTGTTCCCCTAAAAATCTCCATTTGTATTTTAACAAAATTTTCTCCTTTTTTTGGTGGGGAGATGGGGGGGGACCAGCTCACTCTGAGCCTGTTTTCACACACATCCACCTGATTTCATCACACATTTACAAGAGCCTGTGTCCGTGGATTTTTATTGATGGAGAGCTGGTTCTGGAATACCTGGGTCAAGAAGGCAACTTTTCTCTTAAAGGCTGTGCTGGGAATTCTATTCTTCTGTGGACAGAACCATCCCATTCAACCTTTCTTCCAAAACAGATGTTATTGGTCGTGGATTCTCTAGAGACACTATAAGGGATCATAGGAAACTAGATATTTAAGGTGAAACAGTAAGTCACAACATTCCCTGTGGAGAGGACAGGTAAAAGCAGTGATTTGAAAAAGTGAGCTACAATGTCTGTTGGGGGAAGTCCCTGAGCTGCTGACACCTACAAGAAAAGAGGGCAGTAACAGAAGAAATAAAGTGGCCTTTCCTTTGTATTTGTAGCCTTTGCAAGACATTTGACAATGGCCTGACCATCTCCTATGTTGAATGGCTCCTAGATTAATCCACTGCAGCAATTCTTCCACAGAGCCAAATGGGGGGCAAAGTCTGGGGACAAATGACCCTCCGGCATCTGCAGCTCTTGTAGAGGATGCCTCGGGCACTGTGCCCATGTACACAAGCACATGGATGCATTTGCATGGGTCTCCAAATACCTTCCCTGAAAATCTGCACTTCCAAGTAAAGAAATGAATGGTCAGTCCTCAGAATAAGAACACCTGTGTTTATTCACATGGAACCAAAGACAGGAGTGCAGAGAAGGAATTTTTTTAATCATCTCCTGGGAAAAAAACATCTTGGCAGTGCAGTTCCTGGTGCAGGGCCACTCTCTTCTAAGATACAATTAATTGACTATGGTTATGGGCTGCTGCAACATTCCTGTGAGACTCCCTAAACAATATGAAGTGTCCAAATGCAGTTGACTTCTGCCTTTCCATGGTAAAATTTTAACTCATTCAATGCTCATTTGTTTCTTTGTCATGGTTTCACCACAGATGGCAACTCAGGGCCACACAGCTGCTGAAACAGTAAAAATGAGAAAATTCATGGGTTTAATAAAGAACCCAACAGTTTAATAAATAAAGCAAACACTGTGAGTACAAGCAAAGCAAAGCAAAGAATTCATTCACTAGTTCCATAACACCCAAGAGTTCTGCCTACTCCAGAAAAGCACAGAGGTTACATGGAAATGCAAATGCCATCACTCAATGTCCCCCCCTTCCTTCTTCTTCTTCTCCCATCTTTAAATGCTGAGCATGATGTGATATGGTCTGGAATACCCCTTTGGTCAGTTGGGGTCAGCTGAACCAGCTGTGCTCCCTCTCAGACTTTGTGCACCCACAGCTACTCCCTGGTGAGTGGTAGGAGGAGCAGAGGAGGCCTTGACTCTCTGTCAGCACTGCTCAGGAATAACTAAAACACCCCTGAATTATCAACACGGTTTCCAGCACAAATTCAAAATATAGTCCCATTCTAGGTACTATAAAGAAATGTACTCCAGCCAGAACCAGCACATTATTTAATAAAAACAAACAAACAAACAAAAACAAATCCCCAAACACCCTGTTTCCCTGGCTCTGTCTGCCTGTGGGAGATACTGAGAAGGAAGTGATAAGTTAACATGTTCGTGGTTTGGGGTGTGCTTGTGGGAGACTGCTGCTGTTATTGCTACTGTTGCATCTGTTTCTGGGAAAAGACAGCCCAGACTAGTCTTGAGAAGTCTGGGAAGAGTCTTGCCTTGCAGCAACCCCAAAAGACCCCACTGGGTAAAGCCCCTCCTTCCAGTTCTGCCCTGGCCCTGCCTGTGTTTCAAGCACTGTGCCCTTTTCAAGTTCTCGAGTGCTGCAGAAATAGGTGGCCGTGTCTGCAGCTGTTGGTGAGAGCACTTCCAGCAACAGCTGGTTCCTGGAGGGGTCTGCAGAGCTGGTGACTCGGGTCTGGAAGGATGAAGCGATGTGCTGGAGCCCTGTGAAAGGATATTGCAGCACTATGTGCTGCAGCTCTTTGCCAGGAGTCTGCCGGATCCAGTCCCATGCGTAGCTGCTGTCGGTGATGGGGACACCAGAGATGTGACAGGTAAGCGAGACAGACTCTGACATCTTCCCTCCTGTGGGGCCTGAGGCCTTTGTCTGCACTTGGGAAAGGCCACCTGCAACCCCAGGAGACAAGGATGAACAGACAGGAACAGCTTAAGCAGTCACTTAAACTGCTCCGCCACATCCCTGGGTTTCTGCTTGTGATCTCCAGGATCCAGCAGCTGCAAAACCTTGCTCCCTTTAGAATCTCAGATCTGGTAAAGAAACACAGGGTTCCGTAATCTTCCACTGAGCTCCCAAATGACCATCTAGAATTTCCCCATTTCCTCTTCTCACCCCTCAGGGAGCAAAACTCATGAGCTAGACTGAGTGAACATGAGCCCTGCCCAAAACCACAGCAGGGCTGTTCACACCTCACCATTTGCACTGGGTACCCGTAATACTGGGAACCAAGGGAAACAGGAAAAGTTGCTTCTAAAGCTGAAGCAGTTTGGGAGGTGAGAGATGAGCTGACTTGAAAATTGAGGAGAAGACAAGAAGAAGGGTTAGAGCTCATTAGGGGACAGCAAAAGGTACACTCAAACATTTGAAAATTCTATGCTGTGACTACAGGACTCTTTGGGAGCAAACCTGCACATCTGTGGGACACAGCCCCTTCCAGCTCCGAGGCTGGGACACTGACGGGTGGTTTGTGTTCAAGCTCAGCCGATTTCGTATCTCTGTGCAAACAGCACAGAAGTAGCGGGCAGAGTCCCCAGCGTGCAGGAGGTGCAGGCTGAGAGATGCCTCAGAGCGGGAATTGTCCCGGGAGGCTGTGGCTCGACCCTCCACTGCTGGCCCAAACTGAATCTGTGATGAAAAATGGCTTATCCAGGACACCCACTCGACCCCCACTCCGGGTGCCTGACGGTACCAGCGAACATAATGATTCTCGAAGGTGAAGCCGGACCCGCGGCAGGAGAGGAGCACGGACTCCCCGGGCGCTCGGTGCCCTCCGCCGGCCTCCTCCAGCCTCAGCTGCGCCCACAGCCCTGCGGGGGAGAGCGCAGGAATCGGGCAGGGCGCGACCACGGACCGAGCGTGTTCCCCCACTGCCCCGGTGCCCTCAGCCCCGGTACAGACACAGCCACCGCCCCTGCCGCCTCCCCGCTTTTGTTCCAGCCTCTGTCCCTGCCCCTGCTCCCGCCTCTCCTCTCCCGCTCCCTCCTTCCCCAGCGCCGGGCTCGCTGCCCTCCCCGCCCGGCTCTCACCTGCCGGCCCCAAGGCCAAGGCCAAGCCCAGCAGCCACGGCCCCAGCCCGGCCGACATCGTGCCCGGCCGCGGCCGAGGGCTCCGCGGGAGCCGCCCCCGAGCCGAGCGGAGCCGCGCTCGGGCCGCTCCTGCCCGGCCCCGCCTCGCCGGGGCAGCGCCGGCGCCTCTGCCCGACCCCACAGACCCGCCCCGGCCCCCCCGGGACACGAGAAGGGGCGAGCACGGGGATGCCGCGGACACAAAACAGCGCTGCGCAGATGGAGAACACATTGTCAGAAAAGGACCGAGTGTTCTTGTGGACAACTTGCCCAGAAATTTGCCCTTGGAGCACAGAAGGTCACTGGGATCCTGGGCTGTGCTACACAGACTACTGCCAGCAGGTCAGGGAGCTGATGGGGCCTCTGTGCTCAGCAGTGCTGAGGCCGCACCTGGAGTACTGGGGACACATCTTGACTCCCCCTACTAGGGAGATGGATCTACTGGGAAGAGGCCCACGAAGGGCCATGAAGGTGATTATGGGACTGGAGTAATTCTTGCATGACAAAAGGCTGAGGGAGGTGGGACTGTTTACCCTGGAGAAGAAAAAGCTGGGGGTTGGGGAGGGGGAGATGTTCCCTTCTCAATGTATAGAAATATAAAGCGGTTTAGAATCATAGACTAGTTTGAGTTGGAAGTGGAATTTCAAGGTCATCTAGTTCAACCCTCCTGCAATGAACAGGGACATCTTCAATCTGGTCAGGCCAATCTTCATCAACTTGATCAAGCTCCACCCTATTTGTTTCATGGTTGAAACAGATACAATTTCTGAGGGCAACTTGTTCCATCACCGTCATTATAAAAAATTTCTTCCTTGTATCTTGTCTGAATCTATCCTCTTTCTGTCTAAGACTGCCACCCCTTGTCCTGTCCTTGCAAACTATGTTAAAAATTCTGTGCCCATCTTTCTTTTAAGCCCTCCTTGTATAAATGAGGCATCTTCCGAATTCACCCTCTCTGTGATCCTGTGAAAGACTCACTCACAGGCCCATTCACATCTTGCCCCAGCAAGGGGAAAACTTACTTTGCAATATCTGTCAGTTACAGGCCACCTGAGGAGGGAGGCAAGGATTCTTAGTGTAGAAGTACCAAGAGAAGTTATTTTTTATAATTTAGCTAAGCACATGGCTTTGGGAAGATGGGAAAGAACATTCTCATTTGACCAGTTGCCTGGCACCTGCGAGGTCTACTGCTGGCTCTCGCTTATTGCTGGAGGCTGCGTTCCTGGGCAGAGTGCATGGGAGGAAATTCAATCAGGAAATGATGAGAAGAAGCTCTCCCTTTCCCCCTCACAGCCACCCAAAGACCACTGCTGGAGGATTGCTGGGGGTACAAGTGACAAATTTCTCCCACAGCAACTTCTTATCTACACTAAACCAACCCAGTTCTCCCAGTCTCTCCTCATATATCAGCTGCTCCCTTCCTCGTCTTCATGGCCCTTCATTGCACTTGCTCCCATATGTCCATGTCCTTCTCATTCTGGGAAGTCCAGGAGGAGACACAGCAGTCCACAGTCTCACCAGTGTTGAGCTCAAGAGGATTCCTCCCCAGTGAGCAAAGAGTCAGGTCAACATGCCAGGAGGCTGCTTGGATAAACAAGGCCAGGGAAAATGCAGACCCAGTGCTGAATGGGATGGGGATCTGCTGACCAGGACATGGAAAAGGGCTCAGGTACTGAATGACTTATTCACCTCAGTCTTTACCAGCCAGACTGGCCTTCAGGAATCCCAGTTCCCAGAGTCCAGGGGGAGAGTCTGGAGCAAGGAACATGTTCCCTTGCACAATCCATGTCACTGAGCCCTTTTCTAGTCCATAAAAAAAGGACTTTGTCCACAACGTTTCTAGGGAAGTCAGTGCTGAAAGCATAACTGAAGCAATGTTGTGGTTTAGGTTCTCCTCAATTCAGTGCCCCCACCAAGACTCTCCACAACCACACACTGCTCTCTCTCGCTCCCCCTTCCCCTACCCCTGCCTGCTGTGACAGAATGTAGTTGAGAATTGGAGGCTCAAAAGGCAAAGAACACATAATGAGGTAAGAACAATTTACTGGAAACAGCAATGAGATAAGAAAATGAACAGTAGCAGAAACTCCATTAATTACAAAAGGTGTAAGAAATTATTCACATGGACAAACATCCATGATAACAGAAAATA